GGCATACTCTACTATGCCAGCAGACTCCTTTTATGGAGCAAAGATTGATACCGTTAAAAGGTGTTTGGGAAGGTCAGTCCTGACATAGTGGGCAGGTGAGTCGATGTACAGAAGAAACAGGAAGTAAATACCAATTATGGAATTGTTTCTTTGTAATCAAGAATCGAGTAGCATATGGACATTTTGATGGCTTTATTAAAACATGAAAGTCTTATGTCTGCCTTTTTATGTTATTACTATGTATATATATCTAGATAAAGGGAAAGAAAAGTATTAGCTAAATATTTATTTGTTGTTCAGAATGAGTGTACGGTTTCACAAGAAGTAAAGTACATTCCTTTTGTTTATCTGTACTGATAATAGTCAGCAGGTACTGAGAAGCAACAAAACCCACATGGTAGATGCACACCAGCTTGCGTGATCACGAGGTGTCCATGGGATCAGGTATCAGACATCAAAGACCCAGAACAAAAAATCATATCAGTGTGATTGAGGGGGATGTGCTAAGTGGAGACCCAAAGCCCATCTGTAGACATTTGGACATCCCCTTACAGAAGGGTCACAAGGAAGGGACAAGCCAGTCAGGGCGTCGTATAGCACCGATGAAACGTATAGCTTTCTTCTGGTTTTTTAATGCTTCCTCCCCTTACCCCTCTATTATGGCCTCAGTTCTACCTTACAAATCTGACTAGACCAGAACACGCACCTGCTACAGATAAGAGCCCGCAACACAGGGAATCCAGGACAGATAAACCCCTCAGCACCAATAATGAGACTAGAGCTACCACAGTGACCGACCTATAACCCTGCCCCTGGGGACAAACAACAGAAAAGTGGGTGAAGGGAGACAGGACGACGTAAAATATGAAAATAATAATAATTTATAAGTTATAAGGTTTCATGAGGGATGGAGGGAAAAGAGCTGATATTAAGGGCTCAGGTAGAAAGTGTTTTGAGAATGATGATGGCAACAAATGTACAAATGAGCTTGACACAATGATGGATGGACGGATGGATGGATGGATTGTGCTACGAGCTGTAAGCTTCCCAATAAAATGCGTTGATAATTTTTTTTAAAAGCTAGTAGTAGCACCATGACCAACAGAAAGCCTCTTAGGAGCTTAAATATTAATAACCTTTTGAAGTGTTTAAGAAACTTCACTCTGAAGCTTGGTGCCATTTTTGTTATTACAAGCTATCAGAAAAACGAATGTAGCAGATGAACATAGAACAAAATGGACTGCCAAAAGTGTGATATTTTATGGCTTTAGATTTTAGATTTATGTTTCAGATTTTCTTAGTCATGTTTTAAATATGCCTACATAAGCAATAAATATCTAAATTCCTTCTAAATATAAATTTTAAGTATAATTTTGTGGGCATTTTGCTAGCATCCTGGCATAATAACTTCTAAAATTCATTTTCCAGCAATGAAAGTTTTCTAAATTTATTACTCAAGTGAATTATTTATACTTTCTTTAAATGAGTAAAATGTATTCCTTCCATATTGTTTAGAATGAGACACCTGGCTTAATAATAAGGCAGAACATTTGAAAAAGACTTTTTCTGTTAAAACAAAAAATCTATTATATAAACCTCTACAGCATCCTTTTCTGACGTGGACTAAATAGTAACAAACTCCTACTAGTTGGGATGCAGGCTAAGGTGCTCGAACAAAGAGCATCCCATGTCCTCAATGAATCAAGTCAGGCAGGCGGTATCTCCCAGTGGTTGAGAGTGGACTGGTCCCGCTGTGCCCCAAGGTCATTGCTTTTTGAGTTGTTACTCAGCCAGCCATCAGAACTGCATTGTTCAGCACAGTAGCCAGTAGGCAAGAGAATCCATTTGCATTGTTATTTAAATTAAAGTTACATTCAAAGGCGGGGTTCCTAACTAGCTACCTTGTGGCTCTTGTGGTGCTGGGAGAAAACACCTCCATCTTCTGGGAGGTCAGTGCTTCACTGGAGCTCCGTTTGTCCTCCTCCCTGGTAGTTTCTGCTGGCCCATAACTGGCCCTTCCAAGTTCTAGTCCACAAGAAGTGAGAAACAGCGAGCATAGGAGGCAAATGATTTTGCACATACCTGTTTTGCTTATATTCCATTGAGCAGCGTGTAGTGATGGAGCACACCCTGCTGCCCTGGCAGATTGGAAGTCCTTGACTGAGTGGAGTTGTACTTTGTTAAAATTGGCTTCCCCGTGGCAGGGGGTGGGAAGCATTATTTGACTAAAAGGAAGAAGGTGTGAATGGAAGCTAGAGGACTAAGGTTTCACTCCATCCTACAAAGGGCAAGTGACTCATGTGTGAAATGTTTTTTTTTAATGACCATAATGCGAACCAGCATGAAATCGTGAATATTTTTATGGCATTATTTGAATTATTTTTCAAAGGTTAACAAAATTTGTAGTTGTTCGGACCGAAAGGCCGTATTTTGAACATGTCACTGTTTTTCCCTAATGTATTATTACTTCTATGCCCTACACTTGGGTGTTGGCTTAAGCTACTGCATACTCAAAATCTACTCTAATCCACTGCATGCAATTAGGGCTAGTGTTTATGAAAGGCTTTCAAGAAGTTCATGGGAAAATAGAATTAAAGGGTAGTGGAATTTTCCCAAAAGTTTCCATAAGTGTTCAACAGTAATAGTTTGAGCACTTTTGGAAGTGTGAACAGTGCTAGTGGGTGGTTTGACTGCTCCTTCTCTCCCTTGCCATCGATCCCTCCATTCTCTGAACACATGCTAAGTACTGTTCAGGGTTGATAATAAAAAGCAATCTTTTCACACCCCGTTTCCTATTCTCAGTACTACTCTTTGGAGGAAACAAGAACACGACTTTGAAAGGTTCCACAGCGTTCTGCATTTCTAAATATTGTGTCTCTGTCCAACATTTCTTGATTTATCACGTGGAGGCAAACTGCAGCAGTCGGAAAGGATGCAGCCCGCTTTCGTCCCTTTTCTCTCTCCTTCATTATGATTTATTCTTTGTTCTAGTCAGCGTTACTCTGTTAAATTTGTCCTTGTCCATTCACTCATAGATACTATCTCTGGATTCTCAAATCAGCAATTACAGGCATTTTGGATTTCTTCTTAATTTTCCCCCTCATTTCTTTCTTGTAAATTGTGATGGTTAAACATGTGACCCTTAGTTCTTGGAGCTACATATTTATCTTTTATGGTATTGCCCCTTGCTAGATTCTGAAGTCTCCATTGATCAGGTGGTCACATTTTTTAATGACTACCTAAATATTTTCAGTGAAAAGTCAATGGCAGAGCAGTTAATTGCAGTGTTGTAGCACAGCTCTGCTGTCTACAGTGCAGGTAAAAACAATCTCTTCCTTGTTATGGATTCTTTACTGCTCCTGTGTGTTTGTTTATTTATTTTTTACTTCCCTTCAGCAGTTCAGTCATCCTCCGTTCTGTGGCCGGCTGCCTCTTGTGCACAGGGCCCTCGCTGCAGAGCCCACTCTGTTCTCACCTGTGCTCCAGCCAGGCTCTGCCAGGTAGTTTACAGCTTCACGACAGTCCTAGAATGTCGATCTGCTTTCTTTCTTTCTTTTTTTTTTTTTTTTAGTTGATGCTCTTTATTTTTTTTTTAGAATTGGCCTATCTTTTTTTGAAAAAAATCCCTTTATGATTCATTTTTCTAGTGAGTAGAGAGAAGGTATAAAGGCACGTGCTCATCTCAACATTTGAATTCCCACGTGTGTATGTTGTCATCCCATGCCCGTATCTCTGGGTCCATGGTGACCATACAGATGCTAAACCGTCATGTTCTAATTGCTTTGGATGAATTGTGTATAGAAGTCACTACAAGAGAGTAAAGATAAAAATGCAGGCAAACATGGATATTTTTATGTGAATAAGCCTACATGATAAAAGTTTCATCTATGAGTACAAGTAATTTTGTTTCACTTTTGTTCCACTAGGGAAGATGTATCTCTTCCGATTTGGTGCCATTCTTCATTTCAAGCTGTTCCACAGCTTCACGGGCCAGCATTTCTTGAAATTGACCCACTTGACCATTAGCCCGGCCCAGTGACCCAACGGGCCGATAATGATGGTTACAAACAGTTTCCTTAGGTTAGGAGGCTAATGTTCCCTCTGAACCCTGACGGACTCACCCCCCCCCCCCCCCCCCCCCCCCCACCGCCGTCTGAGTGCTAGAGTGGTGCAATACCTTTAAACTCTTCTTTATCTTTGTAAGAGAACAGTATTGTAAAAATGTCAGAACAATATCCACGTGCCCAGATCACTGGTAAATATCCTGCTGAATTCGAACCTTTTGGCAGTAGCTTGTGCTTCTCCTGGGATCGTATATTTTCACAGAATAATATATTTCAAAGAATATTGGCTTCCACTGTGGAAAATCCATGCCTTTAGAGCAACTTTCAGCCCAAACAACTATGCTTATGTTGTATATTTAAAATATTAGTCATGTTGAGTCCAGGGCCATCCCAAATGTCAGGGGAATGTGTCTCACACAAAAAGAAAAAGGTCTTGTCCCGGGACCCTGGCCCCTCGGTGCATAGGCAGCATTTTCCTGAGAGGATCAATGTGAGTGCATGACCTGGTATCAGCCAGACTTTTGCACAGTGATGGTATCGATAATGGCACAGAAGTCCGTTGGGGAGAACAACAAAGGGAGCTGTGTCAAACTACAGAAATGGATGAACTTGACAGGGAACTTATTAGGCAGACGGGAACAGGCAGTGTGTACCAGGGTCCCAGGGATGCAAAACAGAAACGGTGCTTCCTGACCACAGCCTGAGCCCTGGCACACGTGGTTAATAGCCCCGAGATATATGGCTGCATTTGGCACGAGGCCGGTGCATTATAGGCAGCCAGTCTTGTAGCCGCAGCAGCAGCAGCAGCAGCGGCTGGTGTGCAGAAAACCCCGATACATGTTAGTAATGGATTAATAGGAATAGAACAGATCTTTGCATGCCGAGTCTTCCTCCCCTCCCCAATGTGGTCATGTTTCCCCACCTTCTACTTGCCAGACTCGTGTATATGGAGAGTTCCTTCAGCACCTTGAAGCTGAAAGCCAAAGATACTTCCGGTAGAGAGCACCTGATCACTCTCAGGCTGAAGGCGAAGGTGAGTGCTTGCTTCAACTGCCCCTGAAAGTGCCCTTGTGCGATGAACATGGGGACGTCTTTGGTGCAAAGAATGCGGACTGTTTTCGAAACTCTATGTATCTGGTGCTTGTGAAACTGATATTGGAAAACCTCAGAGAATATTCAGGTTTGTGAAAGCTTAGAGTTAGCTTCAAAGTACCATCATGTGATTTTTGTCACATCCTGTATTTAAAAAAAAAAAGAAGTGGACACTTCCCCTATCCCAAGCCTTCAAGTCTTCTAATGAATTTCCTTTGTAGTTCTTGTCTCCAGCCCCCTGGCCCCAGGCTGTTTGAATATGTGGGCTGACGTGTAGTGGGAAGGCCACGCTTGCACACAGAGAGCCCTTACTGTGGGCTGGTGATGTCTAGCTGCCGCACTGATTCTATTGGCCCAGAGAATGGCTGTTACTCCTTCTTTTTAGCTCTGAGGTTTGAACGTGGAGTAACAAGTGGAGTAAGCAAGTTGAGCATATTAATCATTTACATAGTAATCACCAGGGAAACATTAGAATTTGAAGAAAATCAGGGCATCCAACTTTTTTATTGTTCCAAGGAGTCATCAATCAACTCTATTTCCAAAGATTGTAGTGATGAAAAGATCAATTGTGTTTGTCCTTTTTAAAAATGTGTTTGGCATTTAAGCTTTCCGCAAGAGAAAATTAATATATAAAGCTCTACCGGGTGACACAGAAAAGTGGATATCTTTTAGTGCCTCCAGATCAGACAAGTTGAGAAATGACTCATTCTCTTTCTCACACACAAAATGTTTAGGTATAATTTTAAGAGCCATATGTGATAAGTGTTAGGGAAAAAATGGTGTGATAGATGTCTTATTTGTGAAGTCTTATTTGTAAAATGATTACGTAGCTATCTTGCATTAAAATGGAAATATTAAAGGGATGTGCTCTCGGGAGCTCTAGTAGAGATGCACCTGTGCCCTCCTGAGCGGTCACCTTTGGCCAGTGGCAAGGGTTCTGTCGTGTCCTTCCAAGTGCTATTTGTCTATGACTTTGTACACTAACAAAAGGTGCATTCTTGCTCTGAAAACCAAAGTGAAAGATGTGCATACACTTCCATGACTTTGAAAACACACCTCCATTTACCATCACTGCTTCTTGCCTGCTCCAAACACACACACACACACACACACACACACACACACAATTTCTAGTAGATGCCTTCTATTAAAAAATAAATATATAAATCAAAATAAATAGGAGAAACAGTTGACTCTGTTGTTTTTCATAGCTGCATTTTTATGTTTATTCGATGATAAAGCACCGAGCTATGGTAGTTTATCCCTTCGTTATGAAAGAGTGTCTCAAGGCTTCCTCAGGTGTGGCCAACGTCACCACTATTTCTTAACCACTGTGTGATCAGATGCTGGGGTGGCGTGTGTGATCTGTTCCAGTTTGCATGTACAGTCATGCACTGTCACGTCTGTTCAGGTAATGTCTGATCACCTACACATTCAGGGTCTTGTAGAAAATCCGAAAAACATGACCCAAACCCACCAGCACCAAGTTAATTCCAACTCATAGCGACCTTGTGCAGGCTCTGCAAGGCAGGCATCTGTACAGGAGTAGACGCCCTCCTCTTTTCCAGGCAGGACCACTCATGGGTTTTCAGTGGCCAACTTTGTGGTTCGCAGCTGTCCAGTGGTTACTCCACAGGGCTACCACTGCTCCCAAGATTACCATAGAATTCAGAAATCCTTATCAGAATTCTCTGGAATGTAGTGAACAGCTTTCTGCACACAGTATGTATACATGTTTCTTATGTGCAAAGCAATCGCAATGCCAGGCGTTTAATGATATACATAGAGCCTATATTACATATGTCAGAATAAATGCTTATGTTACTGGCTTCTGGGTGTACTGTACTGTACTTTCTAATTTAAAAATTCACCCAAAGCCCATCTGTAGATAATTGGACATCCCCTTCCAGAAGGGTCACAAGGAAGGAGAAAAACACAGTGTTCCTCTAGTTCTTTAATGCTTCCCCTCTCCACTGCTGCCACCTCCCCCGCCACTATCACGATCCCAGTTCTACCTAACAAACCCAGCTAGACTAGAGCATGTACATTAGTACAGACAAGCGCTTTCAACACACAGAATCCAGGACAGAAAGTAATAATAATTAATAATTTAGCTAGGGTTCATGAGGGTGGAGGGCGGAGGGAAAAAATGAGGAGCTGATATTGAGGGCTCAAAAAGTAAATGTTTAGAAAATGATGATGGCAACATATGTATAAATATGCTTGATACAATTGATGTGTGGATTGTTATAAAAGCTGTAAGAGCCCCCAACAAAAATATTTTAAAAGAAATTATGAAAGTTTCATTATACTCATAAAATTGATCCTGTATGTGTATCTAATGAACATAACGCGTATTTCTTTGATCTCAATAGATACACAATAAAGCCAGCTGCAAACTAGATCAGTCAGGTTTATAATATGCACATTGTACGTATCCGTACTTGCACTTAGAAGAATATGTTTCAAAGATGTCACTGTTTCGTAAACTACACAGTGGACGCATGCTTGTATGTTATATTACACATTGCTACTTGATTTCTGGACTTCTTTTCCTATCAGTTCACATGACACGATAGGCCACCCTGAGTTATACTCAAATGCAGGCTCTTCATCCTCTTTCTGTGTATTGAGTGCGCCTTCATTTAGTATCCTGCGGAGCCACTGACGCTTTACTTGGTAGAGCTACTCCAAGGACCCAGCTGCAATAGACCGTTCATTGCCTGCGTGCGTTCTCAGTGGATGCTTTGCTCTCATTAGAAAATTGAATCTACTCTCTGCAGCATCAAAACCCAAACCCTCTACCGTTGGGTTGGCTCTGACTTTTGGCACCAGAGAGCGTTCTTCCACAGTGCTGCTGGGCAGGTTTGAACCTCCAGCCTTTAGGATTGGCTGTTTGGATTGCCAACAAACTCAAATGGAACTGAATTTTATATGTAGGTATTTTAACCAATGGAAGCCGTCAATGTGCGTTGCTGATTTTTATAGAATTTTACAGACAATAGAGAGCTCTAACACTTTCATTTGAATCCCGCAACCTTCAGACAGGAAACAACCAGAGATGTTCAATAACAGAAGCTCATACAAGCCTCGTTAGCAGGGCTGGGCCTAGAGAAAGCCCAGGTCTCTCTCCCCCCATGATGTAGGAATAACATACAAGCGGTCTTTCCAGTGATCGCAGCGGTTAACGCTGAAGTGCACTAGTCGATGTAGTAAATTGTGTGAAAGAGCGCCCCCCCCCCAAATCTCAGCTTGACTTATTGCGCCCCCCCCCCAAATTAAGCAAATAATACTTTATATGGCATCCTAGATATTTGCCTTTGTGTTATCAGTGCTATGTAGCAAGCTATTACTAGTTAGGGGTATATTGATGATAAACTTCTTTTTAACCCAGCAGTCATTGTAGCTAACTTAATTCCTCTGGAAAGCCTTGACTTCAAATGTGCGTTTGGTTTTTAAATACTGTGTTTAGTTTGGTCCTCTTTTACTTAACCCAAAATAGTACTGAAAAATAGGAAGCTGAAAAAAAAGAAAACCCTAAAACTTATCGTGAGCATGTTGTCAATGTCATAGTTTAGTTTTCCTAAGGTATGTTTTGTTCATTGAGTTTAACTTTTTTGTAGGAAAACGAGTATGATTGAATTATATGTGACTTCGAGGAATCCTAGAATTGAATATTAAAGAAATTAGCAGGGCAGTTCTCTCATGAGAACAAGAATTTTAAGAAAAACCACCTTTTGTGTTTGTTAACTTGGAAGCATGACTTGTCCCATGACTGTCTTTAGGGATTCCACTGTTTAAGATACTACTTTTAGTACAAGTAACTGAAAAATTAATTTCCTGTTTACCAAGCTTAAAAAGATTTTTTCCTCAAAAATATTTCTTAACTTTTGTTTTTCCTTTAGAAGCCAGAGAGCTGTTTAGTTGTCCATTTTTATCTACTTGCCCAAACAATTGTCTTATGTAGAAAATCATTGTTAATTATTAGTAAGCTGTGTGGGTTTATTGTTTTGTGCATATCTGGAATCTTCTAAGGAAGTCTGCCTATTGAGACGGTGATGGAAGCAATTTGAGATAAAAATTTTAGAACTGGCAGGAAGTTAAATATCAACCAGTTCGACATCTCACTTGCGAGAGAAGCAAAACTGAGACTTAGTGTAGTTCACCCCACAAATCACAGTGTCAACAACTGACTTGGCGCTGGCGCGATTCTTCTCGACGCCAACTGTCTTGTTCCACCCCACCCCCAACCCCCAGGCACCAAATTGGGCCCCTCCTGATCCTCACTTGAGACTTTTGACCTGCTCTCGTAACAGTGGATTCAAAATTAAGTTTGGTACATATAGGTTTATAATACTTTTTCCTTAATGTGTTCAGGTTTACTAAAATACCGTATGTGAACGGACTACACAGAAACAAACGTGACCTAGTTCATGTGTTGTTGTTGTTGTTTTTTTATAGTACCCAGCAGAACCACCAGATTGTGTCGTGGATTTTCCTGTACCCTTTCCTGTTTCTTGGACGCCCCAGGTAAACCCTGAAATTTATTGGGACTAAAACGTGGATTTCATTTGCTGGCACGTAGTCCTCCACATTATGGAGTGATCGCTGTTTTTCAGTTTTGGTTGAGCATGTATTTTATAAGTCAGTTTTCTGCAGCTCCTCTTTCAGATATACTGAATGGCCTTATTCTGTCTACACAGGGACACACACACACACACACACACACGCACGCTGCCCCCTGACCCTAATATGTCATTGTAGGGAAGCATATGGAAACTCGTTTGATGTTGCCATTGCATTTAAGTCCTAGAGAGCACTGAGCAGAAAGCGGACAATTTGGTAAGATTTCCCATATGGCCAGGACTCACCACCGATCAACATAATAGTGGACGATACTTTTCATACGACAGCGAGTTATGACTGAATAGCTAAACTCTGCTGTATCACTTCAGTTTTCTTTAAGTTCCCTCTCTTTTTTCTTTTTAAAATCATTTTATTAGGGGATCATACAACGCTTATCACAGTCCATACATCCATCCATTGTATGTCAAGCACATTTGTACATTTGTTGTCCTCATCATTCTCAAAACATTTGCTTTCTACTTGAGCCCTTGGTATCAGCTCCTCATCCTCCCCCCCATGAACCCTTGGTAATTTATAAATTATTATTTTGTTTAAGTTCTTCTTTCATTCTTGAACTTCAGCTATTTTTTGCAAGCTTTGAAATGCTTACATTTTGCATGAAGATAGAAGAAATTCTTTTTCTGGCTGCCAATTATGTTCTGAGTACATGGGTGGGATCTAGCTAGATAATGTATGTAGAGTCCTTTGTAAACTGTAGCGTTATACCGTGTGAGGTGGTATGATTACCAGCAATCATGAGTGTGTGTGTGTGTGTGTGTGTGTGTGTGTGTGTGACGTGTAAGCTGTGCTGAGTGGTTGTGGGATGAATAATGGGCTTCACCCTTTCCATGAAGTGAGTTGTGGCCGTTGGTGACAAAACAGAAAATTTCTAGAGAAAAAAAAAATCCTTAGTGACATTTTACAGGCATTCTCTAAATTGAGGCTGCTATAATTCTGATGAAATTCATATAAAAATTTACGAGGGGTACCCCCCTCAAAACAGGGATTTATTTTCCCCAAAGCTGTGTATTTTAAATATTTTTACAAAACAACCTTCCCACCTTCGAAGTACTCTCCATGACACTTACGACATTTGTCAGATCTGGGAGTCCATTCTTGGAAACATTTTCAAACTCATCTGTTTGGATGGCTGACAGAACCTCACTCACATTTTTCTTCACCTCTTCCATGTCATCAAATTGCTGTCCTTTCATGTCCCTTTTCATTCACAGAAACAAAAAGGAGTGCATGGAATGAGGTCAGGTGGGGCAAGAGAGGCATGCTGTTTTTTTGCCAAAAACTGGCACACTGAGATGCATTGCCGTGGCAGCAAAAACGTCCCCCGTGTGCCACAAATCAGGTCTTTTTGTCACACACTGTTATGCAATCTTTGCAGAACCTTTAAATCGAAATCTTGATTAGCAGTCTGACCTGGTGGAATGAACTCAAAATATACTAGACCCTTCACATCAAAAAATAAATGAGCATTGTGTAGGTCTTTGATTTCACTTGACTGGCTTTGGGGGGCGGGGTGACAATGGTGTCTTCCACTGGCTTGATGTTTGCTTTGGGGGTCGTTAGAATGGCACCGTGTCTTGTCACCGGTAGTGACCCTGGGTCCAGAAGTCTGGGTCACTTCAGAGCTGTTCTTTCAGAGCACGGCATGTTCTTTTTCCTGCTCGGTGGGAACTGAGGCACGTATTTCATAGCGGCTTCTCATTACCAAATCTTCTGTTAACGTTTGCTGAACTGAGCTCAGAGGGTCCAGATCACATCCCCTTCTCTTCCATAGTCTGTCATAAGTCTTCAAGCACAAGTGCACAGATTTTTGTCAAGATTTTCTTCCATTTGGGAAGTTGACGGATGTCCAGAATGAGGTTTATCATCCATCGACATTTCATCTTTTTTGAAATGAGAAAACCACTTGCATGCTTGAGTTTTTCCCATAGCGCTGTCCTTGTAAGCTGTTCAACAGCACAACGGTTTCTGTGGCACTTTTCCTGAGCAGGAAACAAAATTTCACAGCCACACGCTGTTCTCTTAAATCAGCCATCACCAAAAAAGAGGTTCAAACAAAACTGCTTTTATGAAAAAATTCACTGTGACCATAGAGAACCTTTCCAGGCAACACCACTGGGTGCACTAACTCAGAACAAGTAGCTCAGTGCTCACCTACCTTGAAGTGTGTACCATGAAAGCTCCTAACGGGGCTTTTTTCTGTTTTGGGTTTGGGGGAAAGCGTCCCCCCTCGTGTACTTGCACTCAAAATGTGTGACTAGAGTATTTGTCTTGTTTATGAGCTCCATTAAAAAAATGCCTAACAGAACTAAAGTAGTCCTGTGAAAGGTGTAAGTTTTCTCCCCCAGTGGAAACGGAGAATGTATACCGCAAACACTATGAAAAATAAAATATAAAAACGGGGTAGCAAATGATTCTATGTTTTATATTTTGATAAATGCTCTAAGTATGTAAGATACTGCATTGACTTAAAAAAAAGAACTGGAATTATATAAATCTGCACATCTGTCTTATTTTTTAAAAAATATATTTTATACTTGATTCTCTAAAACTTTTGCTTTATGGTTTAAATATGTCAGGAGAAAATATTACCTATGCTGTCTTTTGTTCAGGTGACCATTCTGTAAGTTATGCCTTAATCTGTGTCACCCTTCCAAAGTGAGGAATATGTTTTTCATGCGGTCTTATATGAGGGGACTTCACAAGTCCATGGAGAAATCCCATTGATCATTGTTTTTCTGTGAACCTTTTGAAGATACATTCTCTCGACTGGAAAATGTTCAGTCTGCATGCCAAGATGTTGAGCACTTCGCTCTTTCGCAGAATGAGTGTGTGAGTTTTCTCCTGGTGTTGCCAGTAGGCGTCCCTTGTCGTCAGCAGAATGAAGCAGGGCATGGCCTTTTGCTCTCCTCACGTGGTTATCTTTGAGCCCCTGCTGCGGCGACTGTGTTGTTCCCTCTCTTGCTAATCCTCTAGTTTCCGTGATGTCCTTTTCCAAGGACTGGCCTCTCCGATAACATGTCCAAGGTGTGTGAGAAGAGGTGGCACTGACCTGGCTTCTCAGGCGCGTCCTGGCCATGCTTCCTGCAAGTCAGATTGTTTGTTCTTTTGGCAGTCCATGGAACTGTCTGCATCCTGCACCAGCACCACGACGCAAACGCACCGATTCTTCTTCAGTCGCTCTTAGTTCATGTCTGGCATTCACTTCCATAAATAGGCATAAAATGAATGTTTCTCTTAAATCAAATTTGAGTTTTAGATTCAATTTTGTCACACAGGTTTTCTACAAACTCCAAGTAAACTTGGAATAATTAATAGTAGCTGGAATGTCATAACTTCCATTGTCAAATTATAGACTACGTCGAATAGTCTTAGCAAAGAACCAATAAAACTTATGACTCCTTTGTAACAAATAAAACTTACAACTCCTTATAGCTCAGATTTGACTGATGTCCATACATTGCTGTATTTACTTCAATTGTACCTCATTGTCTCTTAGAAATAAAATGTTCAAGAAGCCAGTAGGATCCCACCTTATTTCCCACTTTTTCTTATTCCTTCTTTACTCTCTTTCTAGGAAACTACTTCCCAGAAATTAATGTGTGTGCTTGTCATAATGTTTTGAGGGAACTAGAGGGGTTGCACTTGTTTATACTATAGTCTATAACATTTGTATTCTGACTTAAAATATATGCACACATTGTTTCTAAGATTTATCCATGGTACACGAGTGTGTCTATATGTTTCTTTTAAATATTTTATTTCACTTTATGATTCAGTGACTTAATTTATCTGTTGGCCTACAGATAAACTTGCTTATCTTTTTTCAAAAACTTATTTACAGTAGTTCCGTGAACATCTTTATACATGTTTTCTTATGTATGTCCATGAGACTTCTGTTGTTCCTGAAAGTGAAAATGCTGACATAGCGGAAGAGGGACCGCTTCACAATTATGAGACGTTGTCCCATTGCCTTCCCACAGCTTGATCCCCCCATTGCCTTCCCAGTTTGATCCCCCCATTGCCTTCCTACAGCTTGATCCCCCCATTGCCTTCCCACAACTTGATCCCCCCCATTGCCTTCCCACAGCTTGATCCCCCCATTGCCTTCCCAGTTTGATCCCCCCATTGCCTTCCCACAACTTGATACCCCCATTCCCTTCCCACAGCTTGATCCCCCCACCCAAGAGTGTAGTCATTCCACTTTTTCAACAGAAATTGATGGAATATCATTGTTCATAATTATTTCCTAGTTTTAGAACATACTTATTTTCCTTTATTGTGAGCATTCTTCCGTATATATTCTGTTTTTATGCGAGTTCTTTTTTGGTGGTGTTAGCATACAGGCTAGGTGTTGTGTCCGCAGTTTGAAACTACCAGCTGCTCCAGGAGAAAGCCGAGGCTTTCCTTCCACTCCTGCACAGAGCTCGTCTCGGAAACCCACAGGGCAGGTCTGCTGTGCCCATGGAGGCGCTATGATCCGAATCCACTCAATGGCAGCGAATGAGAGTCCTTTTTCGGCACTTGGGTTGTAGAGAGAGCATGTCTTTTAATTTCACATAGGATCGCTTATGTCACAAAGAAGTGTACCTTTTCACGTGGTCGTATTCACCAGTCTCGTGTGTTTGTGCATTTTGTGACTCGGATAGAGAGCCTCTAATATTTTGATTGGAAAAAGACCTTTTCCCACTGTTTGAGGCAAACATTCCTCTACGAGCCGGCCTCGCCTCGATGCCTCTGAGTGAGCTTTTCCCTTGAAGTGTGAGACAGGGACAGGGTGCCCTCGTCCACTTTATGTAGGGCCGTAGGGTTTGGATGTACTATGTCCATCTGTGGCGTCGGCGGTGATTTCAGGTTCTTTCTCTCTCTGACAAGGTGCCCTTAAA